TTGGGGTGCAGGTGATGCTGCCCGGGGCGGGGACATGGGTTAAGGAGTCAGAGTTGGGGTGCAGGTGATGCTGCCCGGGGCGGGGACATGGGTTAGGGAGGCAGAGTTGGGGTGCAGGTGATGCTGCCCGGGGCGGGCACATGGGATAGGGTGTCAGAGTTGGGGTGCAGGTGATGCTGCCCCAGGGCGGGCACATGGGATAGGGAGGCAGAGTTGGGGTGCAGGTGATGCTGCCTGGGGCGGGCACATGGGTTAGGGAGTCAGAGTTGGGGTGCAGGTGATGGGGTGGCGGTGACCCAAGGATGGTACCTGGGGGATTGAGGAGCAAGGCAGGTGCTGGGGGAAGATGAAGGGTTCTGTGAATAGGCATGGCCGGAGGCCCGCTGTAGGGCAGTTTGCCCAGAAGCATACTTGTCAATAAGTATTTGTTGAACAGGTGACTCTAAAAGGAAGTGGAGGAAGTGAGTGAACAAGACAAAGGAGGTGGAGATAGTATTTTGAGAAATCAGAAGAGATGAAAATAGAGAAATGAGTAGCGTTTTTGCGAAAACAGGTTAAGTTGCTTTCAAAGGGAGCAGGTGTATTGGGCTTAATAGCTCCTGGGTTAAGGGCCTTTCAAATAATAGCGGAGATGACCTATTCCCTAGCATCCTGGCATCTCTGCTACTATTTGAAGATGCTGGGGAATAGGTGGACAGGAAGTGGGGCGCAGGGCTTGAGGATGAGAGAGGGGTCTGGAAGAAGAAAGGGAGGTCAAGGATTAGGTACTGGGGACTGAGAAAATAATGTTCAAGTATTAAGACCTCCAAGGATGATTTGGGGAGGAAGACGGAGAAACAGTGAGGATTATCTTTTCCTTCGAAGATTTGCTGGGACCTTCCCTAGGTTAGGAATTGTGTCTTCTCTGTATACTAGCAGTTATGGAGAACATTCGATTCCCCAGGGACTCCTTGAGGTCAAAGCCCTGTTGTGTTCTGTCCTCTCCCAGCACTCAGCTCCTCTGCTGCCATGTCTGTGACTGATTCAACTGGGGCCCCGGGAGGGAGTGGGAAAAGTCAGCCGCAGGGGACTAGATAGGTATGCCCGTGTCTCTCCACCTTCCAGGAGAACCGGAGCCTGACCATCAAGCTTCGGAAACGGAAGCCAGAGAAAAAGGTAGAATGGACGAGTGACACTGTGGACAACGAACACATGGGCCGCCGCTCATCAAAATGTGAGTGATTGTTGGCCGCCAGCAGCTGCCTGCAGTCCTGTCGCTGGCTTCAGGGAGACCAGGTTCAAGTAGAGGGAGCAAGGTGGGGATGTGCCGAGGCCTGAAGGCGACAGGTATCAGAACAGGGAGAAGTGGAGCTTTGGATTCCTGGCGGAAAGGATAGGGGTGTGGGTGCCTGAGCCCCAGGGGGTGGGCCTGGGGAAGCTGGATCCTGGAAAGGAGAAGGAGCCCATGGTGGAGGCAGGAGTTGTTACTGAGATCCGGTGGGAGTAGAACTGTCTGTACACCCTAACTTTTGCTCCTTTTTTACCGGGCTCCTCCCTCCAAATCCAGGCTGCTGTATTTACGAGAAACCTCGGGCCTTTGGCGAGAGCTCCACGGAGAGTGATGAGGAGGAAGAGGAGGGCTGTGGTCATACACACTGTGTACGGGGCCACCGCAAAGGACGGCGTCGTGCAACCCCAGGACCGAGCCCCACCACCCCTCCCCAGCCTCCTGACCCCTCCCAGCCCCCTCCAGGGCCAATGCAGCACTAAATTCCTCTCTCCCCCACCATTCCTGTGTCTGTCTGGCCCTGAATGTATTCATGTGGCTCCCTGGGGACTAAACCCCTGGTTTGATCCCTCCTCCGGTCCCCTCCTCCCCTCCCCTCTGCCTGATGGAAGGAAGAGGGAGACGAGGGTAGACAGAGATCCTGGAATTCTGACTTGCTGCTATTCCAGAACCCAGATTTCTGGGTTCCCCCAGCCCTCATTTCTCCTTCCAGTACTCATCCTCTGTTCTGCAGGGATCCAGGCGTCTTGGTCGCAGTCTTTCCCCCTTGTTCTCACTGCCAAACTGCCTGTCCTGGGATCCAGTTATCTTGGCCCCTTGCATTCTCTCCTTGAGTCCCAAACACTTAAATTGGGTTTTCAACAGCCCCAGCTTTCACTGCCAGGGTCCCAGTCGGATTTGGGGCAGTCTTGCCCCAGCTATGCTTGTTAATCCTGGCTTTGAGCTCTTCCAGTAATGTATTTATATAATCTGAACTCCTAGTCCTTGCCTGTGGGATGTGAGGCCTTGTGGGAGACCTCAGGGCTCCCAGCCCTTCCCCTCTCCTGCCCTCCCCCCTCCTGCCCTCCAGAGGAGTTGGGAGAGAGGTCTTTGCTTTCTCACCGTTAATGGGAAATAGAAAAGGAAATAGTCATGGCCTCTCCTCACCCTTCTCATAAAAAAAAAAAAAAAATGATACAGGATTTCCAACAAAGCCAGCTTGAAGGCTGGTCACTTAGAGCCAACTATCTCCTCCGTCTTCTGGCTTCAGAGACAGATCCAGCATAGTCCCGAGGCCCTGGGTCCCTGGGGGAGGAAGGAAAAGACAGGGAGCAAAGAGATGGGGGTGTGTCCCCTATACTGCACTCTTACCCATTCCTTCCTAGGCTTTGATGTGGCTGCCAGCCCAGATATCCCCCTCTCAGCCCTCCCCACTCCTTACTGGGATCGTGACATCATTTTCTAGGCCTCTTGCCATATGCACAGTTGCAGAGAGGAGTCAAATCCATACCACCACTGAGATCTCATTTATTGCCACAGATGCACAAAATAAATAACCCAGCATCACAAAACGTGTTAAATATGGGCCCATTTATACATACGGAGAAAGATGTGAAGCTATATACAAGGATGAGCTTGGGGTGTCTGGGCCATTCCCAGGTCGAGGAGAGAGCACCACTGGTTCCTTACAAGGGGGAGTCTTCAGGAGGTTCCAAAGGGGGAAAGGCTATGAGCACGGAGTAGAGCTGCCTGCCCCTTTCCCCAAAAGCCGCCTAGAGGGCCCTGGGACCCAGGCCCTCTTGAAGAGAAAGCTCCGATTGGACAGGGCAGGGAAGCCCGAGCCTCAGAGCTGTGGAGATGGACTGGGCCCTTCCTGGAGACCAGGAGAGGAGGCAGGAGCGGGAAGGGAGGCCGTGGGTAAGGATCCTGGCGGAGCGTTCCGGTCTGGACTAGCGGAAGGTGGGAGGGGAGAGATGAGGCGGGAAGTAACCGAACGTGGAGCCGCGTCCGGGAGGGAGGGGCAGGCATGGACTCGGCTTTGGGTGTGGACGCGGACACTGAGGCCAAGTGGAAGGGTGCGCACGCTTCCCCTGCGTGAGCGCCTCGCTCCCGGCGGGTGTGGGTGGGACTCAGCCTTCGGCCGGCACGATACGAAGCGGGGCGCGGGCGTCGCGCGTGCAGAGCAGCGGGAAGACGCGCTCCCCCAGGGGCCCCGGCGCCTGGAAGGCGAAGAGCAGGTCCAGCGAGCGGCCGTCGTAGAAGGCCACGCGGCCCCGTTCCCAGTCCAAGTCCACGCGGATGCGGCGCGGCGGGGGCCCGGCGCCGCCCAGCGGGGTGGGCTCAGGAGCCGTGAGGGCCCACAGGCGGCCACCGCGGCCCTCCACGGCCCACACGGCCCCCGCGGGGCACAGCCCCACGCGGCCCTTGCGGCGCACCGACTCCCCGGCCGCACCCACGGCGTAGCGGCTCTCGCCGGAGTCCTCGTCCTCCCCAGAGGAGTCTGGGCTGGAGGCGGCCTCGGCGGTCTCCACCTCCCAGCAGTGCCGGCCGGCCCCAAAGCCCTGTGCGCCCAGCACCGCCGGGAGATGATCGAAGCGCGCGGGGCCGTCGGGGGGCGCGGGAGTCCCTGGGGGGGCCAGTCGGACGCTGCGGCGGTCCGCCGAGATGAGCAGGCGGCAGTGCGCGGTGCCAGGGTCCAGGGTCAGGTCGGCTGCACGGGGGAAGGCAGGAGAGGAGCGCTTGAGGGGCTTTCCGAGTCAGAGGCGGGAGGGACTGACAGCGTGCAGCAGAGAGCACCAAAGGGGCCTCACCGCAGCTCCAAAAGCGGCCTAGGCCTAAGTGGGGTAAGGGGTAGTAGAAAAGGGCGGGCTTGGGCAACACTCAGCCTGCACTGATGCGCCGCTTGTGTGCAGCTGGATTTGGACAAGGACCGTGCTGACCCTGGGCAGGGGACACAGTGCAGGGGGCAAAAGAGAGCTGGCCTGGAGTGTGGGGTCGGGAGAAGAGTTTAGCCAGTCCAACTTGCAGGGAGGAGTAAGGACTGGTACACCCTCTGCGGCATTGGGGTGGGGCAATCGAGCTGGGTCAGCCGGACAGGGAAGGCGGCTCAGAAGAGAAGCACTGATAGGAGAGACACTGGGAGCCCAAGGGGAAGTGGGAGTGGGCTGGCTGGTTGCTCTGGGAGGCTGGGGCAGAGGAGGAGAGGGACGGTGGTGAGAGCCAAAGGGACCAGAAGTATTCGTGTGTGGTTTGCTTTTGAGGAAAGATTTCTGGATTGGGGTTGCTAGAAGCAATCTGGGTCTGGTGGGATGGTGGGTGACCAAGACTGTGGAGCACCTTTGGCACTTTTTTGTTTGTTTGTTTTTTTAAGATTTTATGTTTAAGTCATCTCTACACCCAGCGTGGGGCTTGAACTCATAACCCTGAGATCAAGAGTCGCAGGCTCCGCGGACAGAGCCAGCCAGGCACCCCTCTGGCAGTTTAAAGAAGGTAGGGGGCAGCTTTGGTAATGGGCGGGGAGGGAACTCCCCAGGAGCTGCAGAGAGATGCGGGTCTTCTGGAGAGGGGTAATGCCACAGGGCAGAAGCAGCTGACCCCCAAGGGTCTGTTTGTGAGAGTATGATGCTGGAATATGGGGAACTGAGGACAGACATTGTTATGGGTCGAACTGTGTTCCCCTCAAAAAGATATGTTGCAGTCTCCCAGTACCTCAGAATGTGAACTTTGTTGGAAATAGAGTCTTTACAGAGGTAATTAAGTTAAAATGAGGTCATTAGGGCAGGCCCTAGTCCAATATGACTGAAGTCTTCATAAAAAGAGGAAATTTGGACCCAGAAACAAATGAGTACCAGGGGAAACCACGTGAAGACACAGGGAGAAGGCCATCTTTGGGCCATGGAACCCCCGAGGTTCCCAGATGCTAGGAGAGAGGCAGGGAGCAGATTCACCCAAACAGCCTTAGAAGGAAGCAATCCCACCAACTTCTTGCAGAGCTATGAGACAGTTTGTGTTGTTTAAGCCACTCACTATGTGGTGCTCTGTTCCAGGGGCCCCAGGACACTGATGTAGATGTCAGAAAAGACTTGAGCATGTTTGAGAGAGAAAAGGGAGCAAGCCTGAGACAGACTCTCACTCGGTGGGGTCCCTTCTGCCCTCCTTACCCGTCAGTCTGTGGAGCATGTTTTTGACCACTGGATAATCTTCGGGGAGAGCATCGTCTGAGTTAGATGACTTGGGTCGTGGGGCATCAAGTCTGGGCAGATGAGGGAGAAGGGTCAGGAAATCGGGAGACACCCTCTGCCCTCTGATGCCCCCACCCCTACCCCACTCACATCTCTGGAGCAGGAAACCTGTCCATGAGTGGGGACAAAGCTGTGAGCCCATGGAGAGATGGATGTGGTGGCCGGTAGTGGAAAGGAAGGGACGGTAAAATGGAACTCACCTTCTCCAAGTCTTCCTTATATCCTGGGATGGGCAGAAGAAAACATGGATGTGAGCCCTGGGCTTTGTACTCAGGAGCCCTCCCCCTCTTCCCCTTCCCCAGGTAGCTGGGTCTCCGTTGGTGAGCTCCCCATCACCTCTCAGAGTGATCTCGCTCACCCCTTTGTCCCCTTTCATGGCCCGACCTTCCTGTCCATCATCATCCACTGCCCTCTTTCCCTTCCCCTTCGCCAGCCTCGCCCAGGCCTTGTTTCTGCCCCCCTTAGCTTCCAGAGTCCTTACCTTTCCCTGCCGCCTCTCCCAGCCTCAGTCTGTCTCTTTCAGTGGTCCCCTGTCCTTCTCTACCTTCCTGAGGGTGTCCTCCCTTCCATCACACAGACCGAACACCCAGAGCCCCGGGGCTAAGAGTTGGTATATAAAAGCCTTCTAACAAAGCTGCTTCCCCCTGTTGCCATAAAAGACCTGTGGCGTTTTTTGGGCCCTTTGCTTTGTGTCTGTCACGCTGGACTTGGATGTGTCCCCGGAGGTCCTGGCGGATCTGCAGGGTACCATGGGAACCAGGAGGAGCCCTGGATGCCCCCCTCCAAATACCAGGGTCCCCTGCCCCTATCACTATTCCTTGGGGATGACTGGAGCAGGCCAGCGTGGTGGTGAAGGGAAGAGAGGAAAGGCAGTTTGCCTAATTATGCCAATTACACCTGGACTAATTAGGTCTGTGTAGACTTCAAAGTGTGGAAGCAAGACCCGAGACCGGCTAGGCTGCTGGGAAGAAGCCAGTCAGGAATCCGGGACGCCTGGGGGCTGGGCAAGGGAATGGAGCTGGTTGATGGCCAAGGAGTCGGGGCCAAGACTGGCGCAGGGGGGCGGGGTGCGGGGTGGGATGCGGGGCGGGAGCCGGAGGTCCCAGCAGCGGGTGGACCTGGCCTGCACCCGTCGCCGCCCCCGCCGGGGGCCCTGGGAGGAGCCGAGGACGGCAATAACAAATAGCGCCCGGCGCGGCTCGGGCGGGAGCCCGGGGCTCACCGGTGCCTCGACGCTCCCGGGGCGTTTGGATCTGCTTTCCCTCCCTCGCGCCCTCCTCTGACAGCCCCTCCTTCCCCGCCCCTGCACTCCAGCTGGTTCTCGCCCTGCCCTAGGCTGGTTCGGACCCCCGCAGTCCTCGCAGGCCTCGGCCGGCCCGCGCCTTCCCGTACTCCCTCCGGGTCCCCGACTCGCCGGCGCGCAGCCGCGTCCCTCCGCGTCCTCCGCAGCTCCCGCGCTCTGCCAAGGGGCTCCGGACGCCCCGCGTTCCGTCCAGCCCCCTGACCCCTGGGTAAAGT